TTCGTTTGTGCTCGATTTGTGCTGGTTTGTGCCGTTCAAATTTACATTGTATCTATTTCCCGTCCTCAGAAATAACAAATACAAAACGGGCCAGTGACGTCACTCTCCACCCCATGCTGTCCAAATCCCTCCAAACCGGTGCCGTTCATTTGTGCTCGATCTGTGCTGATTTGTGCCGTTAAAAGAAACAATGTAACCATGACCTGTTCTTAAATATAACGGGAACCCCGTTTAGTGTGGCCGCAGAGGTTAAAAAAATAGTGTTTGTGCTGCCTTAAAATTTTAAGTTTAGTCAGCTCCAAGTTTTCACTAACTTCATATTTCAAGTTGACTAAGCTTAAATTTCAAGGCAGCATTAAGTTGAAACGGTGATTTTTTTTTTTTTTACAGTGAGTCTAAATCGTTCTAATTCATTTGTGCCGTTAGAATATTAAACATGTAGGCCTATTCCCCACGAATATTTGTTAATATTAATATTAATTAGATCATATAAATAGCCTAATTCCAGGCGGTCTCCACACCAAATGCCGCGTTTATTTGTGCTCGATTTGTGCCGTGAAAAGAAATCCTGGCTGTAACTATAATTCTTCTTAAATAGGCCTATTTAAAAAGGGGGAAAACAGAAGCACTTAATAAGCCATTATCTATAGGCTATATGTAACTGTAATTGCATGGTATTACTGCATTTAACAGCTAATATTATTATATTATAATATTATGTTAAAGTTTTTCTGTCCCCCTTACAAACGATTATTTATCGCACTGCATAAGAAAACAAAAAGGACATATGGACTGTAGAAAAAGTGCTCAAAGACAAAATAGCCTTAAGCTATACTGAATGTGTGAAAAAAAATATATATAAAAAAAGACCACAAAAACTGATAATGTATACATATCAACTAGGTAAAACTTTTTATTAATATTTTGCAATCAAAAACTCACATGAGCGTGTGGTATGCAATTTTTAACACATTAAATTATGATATGCAAGTCTATGTAGCCATTTCATTTTATTTCATTCAAAGATATTTTAAACAAACACACCTTGGCTGTCCTTCACGCATGGTCTATTCCTCAAAGAGAAAATACAGCTGAGCAATATCATGGTAATGTTTATGCTCCGAATATTTCATCTGCAAAATGCATAATGCAATACACATTTAAATAATAAGAATAATAATACACAATAGGCTAAGTGAGAAAACAGTTGATGTTGATGGTAAAGTCAGGCTACTTGCTAGCTATATTAAAATATACATAGTAACCTTGTTACATTAAAGAGCCTGCTTTAACGGATAAAAATAGTTTTGTTGGTAGGCTATACCTTGGTATAAATTATTGCATTTATGTATCAGTGATATTTGTTACTTGAATATAAACCAGTAATTTAGTCCTATGTTGCATTTTTGTAACAAATGAGATTAAATAGCAACAAACAAGAACACGAATATGTGATATTAAGTTGCAATAGCCTGTTCCGAGAAATGAAAATTTGGGATTTGGTGCTTGATGAAGTCACTGGCAAAAAAAACTTTGAAAAACCTTGAAAACCAGCAGATTTGCAAACTATAGAAGACAGGAATTTGGCAGAGCGGCTTGCGTGCCATCACTTTTCCTCCAGATGTGTGTAATGTTTTACGGAGGAGAAATAAAAATAGAATGTTCATTTTAAATGTTTGACAGCAACATACTGTTAATTAATTAAATATCATTCTGCCGTTAAGTGTGTGTATTACGCAATCTACATTATGCAGCGGCACCCAGCGGCAGGTGTCAGTAAATCGAGCACAAATGAATTAGAACGATTTAGACTCACTGTAAAAAAATAAAAAAATTAAAAAAAAGATGTTCTCACCGTTTCACCTTAATGCTGCCTTGAAATTTAAGCTTAGTCAACTTGAAATATGAAGTTAGTGAAAACTTAGAGCTGACTAAACTTAAAATTTTAAGGCAGCACAAACACTACCAGCACAAACGTTCGTTTTTGCGGCACAAATCAGCACAAACGAATGGCATAGTTTTGGTGATTATTTCTTTTTATGGGGTGCCAACTTCACGGAGGTTTGTTGTGGTTGCAACAAAGTGGTTGCCAAGCAACAGACAAACATAAACAAAGGTGTATGTTTGTAGAGTAATTTACAACAGCTTCAAACGTGGCTCAGCCAATCAGAATCAAGGACCGGAACTCTCCGTTTTATAATGTATGTTTGACAGCAACATACTGTTAATTAATTAAATATCATTCTGCCGTTAAGTGTGTGTATTACGCAATCTACATTATGCAGCGGCACCCAGCGGCAGGTGTCAGGCAATGTCAGTGACACAGGACGCAGTCCATTGACGTGTCACAGGCCACTGAAAACTGGAAGTGTCACTGAGCATAGCTGCATGTGCCAATGGCATCTGTGCGTCAGATGTCATGTCACTTTATGTTAAAACTGCCTCTCAATAAGTAAGTAAGGGGTCAGTAAGTTTTTTTTTACTTTTGAAATAAATACTTTTATTCAGCAAGGATGGATTAAATTAATCAAAAGATATTAAAGTATTTATAATGTTAGTTAAAATACATATATTTCAAAAAACAATTCTACTCATCAAAAGATTCTAAGAAAAAAAAATCCACAAAATATTAAGCAGCAAAACAAATTTTTAACAAATGATCATGTGACACTAAAGACTGGAGTAATGGCTGCTGAAAATTCAGTTTTGCCATCACAGGAATAAATTACATTTTAAAATATGTTAAAACAGAAAAGGGTTATTTTTAATTGTAAAAATATTTCATAATATTACTGCTTTTAACTGTAATTTTTTGATCAAATAAATGCAACCTTCTTTCCAAAACATTT